AGTTTAACGATTAAAAATATTTTTTTTAAAGATTTATATTCATATTATAGATTTAGAGAGATGGTGATAAAAATTTTAAAACAAAATTCTGGAAATTTTTGTTGTTGTTTAAAAAAGATAATTTTGATATTAAATTAATTTTAAGTTATTTAGATATTAATTATGATTTTGATGAGGAGGTTGGTTTAAAACAAAGTATATTTTTTACTTGTAATCAACATAAAAATTATTTGTTAAAAGTTAATTTTGATGTTATTGATGAAATTATTAATAAAAATACAAATGAAATAGTTTTTAATTAATAATATAAAATTTATAAAAGAATTTTGTATTTTGATATATTGATGATTGATTAAATAAAGATGGAATTTTATTATTTTAATTTTGATTATTTTGAAATTTTTATATGAGTATTTATTTAAAAAAAAATTTCGGTCTTATGTGTTGGTTATTCCTTATACTCAAGATGGAAAGATTCTAATTAGTAAAAGAAAAAGTAAATTTCATCGTGGTAAATATTGTCCTCCTGGTGGAAAATTCGAGTTACCAGATATTACAATAGAGAATACGACTAAATGAGAGTTGTATAAAGAAACAAATTTGGAAATTAAATATGGATTAAGTTTTCTTGGGGTTTTCAAGATTATGAAGTTTATGTTTATAAATTCTAGTAGATGATGTAAATCAGGTTAAATTAAACGAGCCTGATAAACACGAAAAATGGTTTTTTACTAATTAATTTTACAAATATCCTTTAACACCAAGTATGGAATTTTTTAAACAAAGGATTCTTGAGAGTGTGACACTGTATTACATTGTTGTTTCAGGTGCTAGTTGTGTTAGTAAATCTGTATTAATTAAACAAATCGGAAAATATATAGAGAATAAAGGATTTGAAGTATGTCTTGTGAATGAATCAATATTGAAAGGAGATGAATATTTATTAAAATTAAAGGATGAAAATATTAAAACTTTCGAATATGGATTGTTAAATAGGTATCACAATCATCATATTGAATTAGAAAAAGAAATTAATTTCAAACGATTTGTAATTGTTGATAGAGAAGTTTTTGATAGGGATATTTATAAACAAGTTTATGGGTTTGATAAAGAGGTCATTACGAAAGAACGAATGCCGAGATTGATCAATACTCAAATGTTGGTATTTTTTATCACATGCTCAGACAAGAAATTAAAGCAAAATTTCAATTCATGTGGAAAAAACGTGTATACATTAAAACAAACTGAAGAGATTAGAAAATATTATGAAGATGAATTTTTAAAAGTTTGTTCTGGTGCTATATTGATTGAAAATAATGGTAAAATTGAAGATACAGTTGATGAAATTATTAATCATATTGATCCATTTTTAGTGAATTTTGAAATTTATTAATAATTTTATGATTATAAAATATCAATATTTTATTTTTTTTATTTTATTCAGTTTTTGATAAGATTTATCAAGATGTATTTTTTAAACACATTTAATCTTTTTTATTTATTAATCCTTTTGATTATTATTGTCCAGTTTTGTATCTTTAAAGATATTTTTTTTTATCAAGGAATCTATATATTTGATTTATATGCTATTTGTGTTTTTTTTCTATCTATTTGTTTTTTGATAAGTTTCCGAAAAAAAAAATGTAAGAAGATTATTATCACGGGAACAATTGGGGCTAGTAAAACTAATTTTGCAGAAAATTTACTTAAAGAGTTTCAAAAAGAAGGAAAAAGGGTTTTACTTGGAAAAGAAGTCTCTTTGTTGATTGAAGAAGAACTTGATCTTTATTACAAGGCATTAGATGTTAATTTAAAAGATAAATCAATCGTGTTTTGGTATCAAGATAAAATTATTCAAGAATATCAAAAATATATGAATAGTATTTGATATTGGATATATGATATTGTTATTTTTAACCGGTCATATCTGGATGTTAATTTTTTTTCTACGTTGGCTATTAATAGTGATTTTGGTAAAGAAAAATTTCTTTCTTATTTAGAAAAAAAAATGAATTGTATTAAATTTAAACCGGATTTAGTTTATTATATTGATGTTAACAGTTTTAATATTGTTAAAAAAAGAGTTGAAAAAAGAAATAGAGATTGTGAAAAGAAAATGGACATCAAGTATTGTAAAGATCTTTTTGAATTGTATAAAAATAAGGTTCCAGAAATTTATCCAGAGTATAGAAGGATTGACAATTCTCTTGATTTTTCGGGTAATGAAGACTTTATCAAACAGAAATGGTTTATTAAAGTTAAATTAGATCTTTATAATTAATATTTTTATAAATTATTTGATTATATTATATTATTTATTTATTAAATATAAAATATTATGAATTATTTTAGGAGTTAATTTGTAATTTGTTTTTAATATAAAAATTATAAATAAAGTATGATTATTGTTAAGGTTAAATAAGTAAAAAATGTCATCTGATAACAATAACGAAAATGGTTCCGAAATTAAAATTTCTAATCAATTATCTGATAAAAAAAAAGAAACTAATGAAATAGAAAGTCCAATTTACACTAAAGATTTTTTTGAGAAAACTTTAAAAATTCAAATGGACGCATTTAAAAATCTCGATTCTTCAACTCATGAAAATTTATTAGATAATATAAAAAAATGGAAAAAATAATCTATTTAATTATATTTGTCTTAGTAAATTTTTTTTTCACTATTTCATCAAAAAACCTTGGAAAAATAAAAAAATTGAACAAAATATAATACCAATAATATTAAATCTCACACTTGAATCATTTGAAATCGAAAAATATTTTCTAAATATAAACATATTCAAACCCAGTATTAACTACCTCAAATTTATTAACAACATCGATATCAATAACGATAAATTAATTAGCGAAATTTCGAAAATTATTGATAAAAAATATATAGATATGATAATACCAATTTCAAATAAAATTATTAATAAAATACAAAATTAGTAATTTATTATTAATAAACACAATTTTCTAAAAATATAAAAAAAACAAAATAAATTTTTAAAAATAACAATCATCATCAAAATGGCATTTAATAGTGATGAAGATAAATTTTATAAAGACATCTGTTTCAATATTAAAAAAAATATTAAAGATAAAAAAAACAATTATTATACCAAAAATAAAAATTCATTCAAACTTACCTTTAAATATGAGAATAATTTAAAAAATTGTGATAATATTATAATTATTCAATTATATTCTACTACTACAAACAATATCACGTTGGATCCATCAAATGAATTATTTACCTTTTCTCAAACTATATCAAATCCAATAAGATATAATCAAGGAGCAATAGAATTTATTAGTATTTCATTAATTGAACTTTTGGAAACTAAACTTCTTATTAGTAATAATCAAGATAAAAATTATTCTAAAAATTCTTGTGAAGTTTGATTTATAATTAATCACAATACAAATATTGTTAATATTAAACATTATCTTTCACTTCAAAAAATCATTACTCTCGGAGAAATTCAAAATTTTCCGATAAATAAGGAAAAACAAACTGAAAAAAATATAAACACAATCATTACTTCAATAAATAACTTGAAACTTGACATATCAGAAAAATTAGAATATAGTGCTATAAAAACCTTTATAAAATTACAAAAATGTTTTAGAACTGCTCGTGAATATTTTGATGAATCAACTCTTGATGAAGATCAAAAAAAAAATTTAAAAAAAACTCTTCAAGATGTTGAAAATTATTTTTAAGGAGAGACTTGTAATAATCAAGATCATAATAATCTTTTTATGAAAATATATCCTGAAAAAGATAATAAAAAAGATAAGAATGTAATTATTAAAAAGGAAAATAATATAGATGAAGATGAATTATAAATTTATAGTTTTATTTTAATTTTTTTTTATATTTTTGTTTAAACATTTCTTGCTTTTTATATATGAAACCTATATTATTTAAATATTCTTTTATACTTTTATATTCATATTTAAAATATTTTAATAAATCATACATATATTTTGATTTTGAATAAATAAATGCTTTAGTCAAACCATAACTTTCCATATCTTGAATTAAATTTTGTTCAATAGTCCCATCAATATCGTTATATTTTAAATTTGGAAATGATTTCGAATACTCTAATATTATAATCTCTTCAGGAACATCACATAACAACATAATTAACATGCAAATAATACCAGTACGATCTTTACCGTATTTACAATTAACAATCACTGAATATCTAGTCACATCCACATTTAATAAATATTCAAATACTAATAAAATTTCTCTTTGACACTCATCTAAAAATGATATATACATTTGTACAACTCCTTTTAACCCAATTGATTTGGTTAAAAAATATTTCTTTTCGAAAAAACTCAAATAGTATTTTATTTTTTCTTCCTTTGTTAGAATTTTAAAATACGTGTTGTACAATGATTCATTTAACATATTAATAAAACAAGTATCGTTAAATAATTTACGTAATCCACAAAAATTTTTCTTTACAGAACTTCCACGCAGATTGATAACCACAATCTCTTTACATGTTTTTCTGATTAATTTTTCTAATGTATATAATTCTTGTTTATTAATTTTATCAAATTCATTTGATTGGAAAATATTTTTAACGCCAGAAACATCGTGTAAATTATTTAACATTTTTTCCGATCTTAATATAAAATTCTTGTTATTTATATGTTTTAATTATTAATATCTTTTAATAAATACAAATGATGATTGCTGAAAAAAAACAAAATTTAAAAAATGGCAAAAATATATACTAAAATTTCTTGCAAAAGATGTTCAATTATCAAAAAAAAATGTGAAGATAAAAAACCATGTTCATACTGTAAAAAAAATAATTACGAATGTGAATCAAATATTCATAAAAAAAGAGGTCCAAAACCATCTAAATACCCTGATCTGTTGAGGATTAGCAGAAATGAAGTTTCTGCTGATTCACATAAGGTCAGGGTATCTATTAAAAAAAATGACAAAATGAATATCGCATATTTACTCAATTAATAACTCTTCTTATCACATTTCCAAACATATCTACAACTCGTAATCTTCCTTGCCACACATTTTGATTATTGTCTAAATTTATCTGTTGTGCATCTAATTGATTATCAATTACTTCTCTATTTCTATCTAATTGTGGAATATTATATAAATCTCTCTGTTTCGCTGCTATTCTTTCTTGTCTTCTCTGCGCTGCTAATTCCATACGTTCTTTTCCACATCTCTCAATATTCAATCTACGATTTTGTCTTTCTCTATCATATTGTAATACTTGATTTCTATTTACTCGATTATATGGTAAAATTAAATTTAAACTACATACAACACAACATGTGTCAACACCATCTCTATCATACCATCTAGTCGCACAATACGTATGAGCCATATATCTTTGATTATTATTACAAAGCCTCGCTACTTCTGGATTACTATTCATAGCTTCCCTTAAAGGTGTATTACAAATAGAACATCTTGTAAAATCTTGCAGATCAATATTTCTATCTTTATTTTGTTGTTGTAGTGGTGGTGGTTGCTTTCCAACAACTATTTGTTGCACATTATCAATTACCTCCACATCCTCCCTTATTTGTAGAATATTATTTATATCTCTTTGTCTTTCTTCCATTTGTCTTCTAGCTCATTCCAAATTCAATCTCTGATCTCGATTTTGTCTCATTATTTATAATATATGATCTTTTCCTACCCGACGACGTAAAAGAGGTTCAAAACACACTATACAAGTTTGTACAACATTTGGTATTCTATACTATCTATTTGCACAATCTTCATGTATATAATGAGTCATATGTCGATTATTACATAACTGTATAACATTTCTACCTTGATGTAATGGTATATGACAAATAGGACATTCTAGAACATCTTGTTGATTAAATTCTTCTTTAATAATTATTTGTTCTTCTGGTAGTTCGTTTACTTGAATTTTTCTATATCTTTGTAAAGCTATCGCGTCTGGTCTCAATATATTTTCTGGTACTACATTTCTCCATAATTCATCAGGCTGTAATGGTACACGACATATAGGACAAGTAA